CTGCACGCTCTCTCCTCCTCTCCTTTGTTGAGCTGCATGAATAGCAAACCCTGTTGGTCAAGTAAATTTAAAATAACTCAACCATGAAAATAGGAATGCCTGTGCTTTTCAGGTACGTTGTGTGTTTTTCTCTATACTGTGATGCAGATCTATTCTGGAACAAATAATCACAGTTATGGCTACAGTTGAAACCTTAGCTCTGTATCCTCAGGAAGGCCCCTCTCTGGTTTCCAAGGTCAGGCAGGTCCCAGTTGGGCAGGTTGTAACTTGATCTTGTCGTAGGCTACTTTCTAGCTACTATGAGAGATATGTCAAGATACTATTTTTGAAAGAATATTTGATAATGAAATGCTCCTATTTCTCACTCATCCATAAAAACCAGCTTATAGGAAACTACAAAACAAGTCATCAGTCACTCCCAACTCTCTATAGACAGCAGGGTTTAAAAATGGATCTTCCTTGGTGACCCTTTGTCACCATGTGCTCATTATCCCTATTTCTCGTGTTATAAGACACATCATGGGTGGTACTCATTTTAGGTCCACCTTCCCCACCAAACTGTACACACCATGAAGATGGGATTCATCTGCCATATTTCACCCCTAGATCCTTAGTACCCTGCACAGTGTTTGGTATGGAAGAAGCATTTAACATTTGTTGAGTGCACTGTCCAAAGAAATGAAAGAAAGTAGGATGAATGTTTCTTTCCGTTTTCTTCTTTACCTGCCTTCACTTTTCCCCATACTATTTTCAGCTCAACACTTCAGAGGCATTAAGAGGGACACCCGTGGCTCAGTCCTCTCTCTTTAAAGATCACAGAGATCCAGGAGCAAGTGAAAAGGCAGGAACTGGGAGGTGTGCATTCAGGGCAAGGCTGAGTCAGACACTTGCAGCGACAAGCGGCTGAAACCCACTGGCGTGAACTTGAGCACAAACGGCACCTCCACTAAGAGAGGGAGCATCTCTTGACCTCAAAGGCAGAAGCAGAGCCGGGCTTGGGGGTTAGGAGGATGAGGAAGAAAACCTGAAGGCATCACATGCTCATCATCTGCTTCTCTCCAAGTGGTCCTTCCTCCCTGATTCACGCTTCCTTTAAGTGGATTGGTTCTCCCTGTTTCTTTATGCACACAAATGCCTCACAGCTGTTGGACTTCTGTGTTCCCAGCTCAAAGGACCAGCCTAGGATGAGATTAGTATTTTCTACTCCAAACTATAAATTCCTGAGGAAATCAGACTGGATTGGGGTCCAACAGCCCAGTTAAGTCTGGTTTCTCCAGGATCCCTCCTGAAGGGGATGTGAGAACGCCTCAGAAAAGACAGGGTAGGAGGACAAAGCAGTGGCTGGGCTTTTGATCATGATGTGTCTGCTCCTCAGCTTCCTCTCATCTGCCACACTCCCAAGTTCACACAGCCTTACCACACTCTGCCTTTCAGGCTCACTCCCTGCCATCAGATTCGGCCTTCACTCTTCATCCTTCCTCATCCCATGCCTTCTTGCTCCCTTCCCTGCATAAAACTTCAGATTCTCCTCAATGCATGAAACGCTACTCTGCTACCCAGAACATGACAAACACTATACTCAAAGGTAATTTCTTTTCAGCATTTGCTTATTTTAGGTTCTGTGATCTTTTTTCCCCAACTTTACTAAGGTATAATTTTCGAATAAAATTGTAAGATATTTAAAGTATACAATGTTACAATGTGTCATTGTAACTGACAATAAAAAAATAATGAAATAAAGTGTACAACATGATGAATTGGTATAGTGTGAAAGGATTCCAGCCACCAAGTTAACACGTTCATTACCTCACATATTTAATTTTGGGGGGTGGGGTGAGAACATTTAAGTTGTACTCTCTCAGCAAAATTCAATTATAGAATAGTGTCATCAACTATAGTCACCATGTTATACACTAGATCCCCACACTCCATTCACCCCGTAACTGAATGGTCTGTACCCTTTGACCAATCTCTCCCGTATTTCTTCCATCTCTCTGCTCCTGACAACCACTTTTCTACTCTCTGTTTCTATGAGTTCACCCCTTTTTTTTAAAGGTATTTTAATGGATGAAATAAACAAACCATATATTGTATGTACAAGATGTTTTCTTTATGTTTTTTTCTGGATTTGGAATATTACTTACCCTGTACCACGATAAACACACAACATGGTCATATCTGCCTTGTGGTATCCATATTATAGCCTCTGGATATGCTGTACCCTTCCACTTATTTTGTAACTAATACCACATTACCATTATATAAGGATAATACTGGGTGGCCTCTTAACAAAACACCTTTCAATAGAAAGGACTGCAAATCAGCCCTTTGTAAATTCAATAAATGAATAAAACAAATGAATTCCAGCTGACCAAAACTGTAGCATGTTTCCTTACACAATAGGATGCTGCACCTCTCAAGTTTACTTAAATTCTTACTCAGGTATCAGTTCCTATGTTGAATGTAGATGATCCCTAGGAACATAAAAGCCAATTTCTGACCAACTGTGAAGAACATAGCCTTTTGTTCTTTTACTTCCCCAAGGCAGATGGAACCATCCAGCAATGAAAGATTACAGAAATCATCTTGACCATCTGTGCCATGTTCGTCTGCAATTTCTCACACCTAGCTCCATGGCCTGTATACAGTAGGTGCGCAGTAAATATTTGACCGACTAGAATGTGTACTTACATCTGTGTGTTTACAAATCAACACCATATACACACAAGGCTTTACATGTGTTCACATACAGTATGTAAATAGAGCAGCATGTTGCATATATGTCAAAAGGCAATCTCAAACTTTAAAGGGCACTCAAATCACATAGGGATCTTATTAAAATGCAGGTTCTGATTCGTGAGATCTGGGGTGGAGGCCAATATTTGCATTTCTAGTAAGTTCTCAGGTGCCCCCAATGCTGCTAGTCCACAGACCACATTTTAATAGCAAAGAAATCCCTTCTTTACTTCCTTTAGTAAAACGCCGTAGGCAAGATACGTAAATAATTAGAGTCCTTCTTCTCAAAGATCATGCACAGTCATCTAGGAAAATGTCTGATAATATCCTCAGGGAAACTCATCTTTATTATCAGATTCAAGTCTTCAACAAGTACTTATTTACTGAGAACCTGTGCCAGGTACAGGAGCCATGGCAGCAGTTGGGCATTCTCCTACAGAGTCTAATAAATGATGAAAAGGTAACGAGCGAGAGGCTCCTCTGTATTCTCAGCGACATTCAAACAAAGAGAACACTGGAGAATGGCACAAAGTGTTTACCGATGTGTGTATGGGGAAGGGGTGGGTAACCCATGTCTTCATGGGTTCCTATCAATGTCTAGATGGTTCCTTGCCCACCATCCCCAAGCCCTCGGTGTTCTGCTCAGGTCCACCTTTCCTCTGTCTTCACAGCTAATAAAGGAGTGACAGGCCTCTGGGGTCAACTTCAACTTACAGGACTACAGAACTTCCCCATCTCGTCCACTCATATATTAGGCCCAGTTTGATGAAAAAGGAAGACCATAAAGGGGAGGGTATAGCTCAGTGGTTAGAGGGCATGCCTAGCATGCACAAGGTCCTGGGTTCAATTCTCAGCATCTCTTTGTAAGAAAATGAATAATAAATAAACCTAAATTACCTCCGCCCATTAAAAAAAAAAAAGAAAGAAAAAGAAAGACCATAGATAAGACTGGTTATACCACTTAAAAAATGAGAAAACAAAATCAATCAGAGAATTCCTTTCCCTTTCCATTTACCTAAGCCCTCATCATTGCCACAGCCTAATAAGAAAGTGCACAGACGGTCTTTGCTATATCATGGGGTCTGCTGGAGGCACAACAGAAGGAGAGAATATGAGTACTCAGAATTATAAGAACCTTCCTCTTCACTAGTATACAGTGGAATACTTGGTTCAGCTTCGTGGTTATCACTTATTAACTACAATTGTAAAGATATGTAGAGCCTCAGAAATCCATCACACCTTTAATAATTTATTTGTTCATAAGCAGGCAAAATTGTTAAATTGTTACAGTATTCTTTTGCCAGAGGCATAAACTTCATCACATCTATAATGTAGCATGAATTTGTGTTGGCTGTACATTACAGCGTGTGCCACTCAAACTAGGACAGTGCACCCAGGGAAGAGGTGCACCCTGCAGGATGCCAGAGGGCACACGAGCCCAAACAACTCATCTAGGGGAGGTTTCTAGGGTGTCAATTTTAATTACGATTTAAAGGAAGGGGAGTAAGGAAAATGTTTAATAATATAACTGACAATGAATTTAAATAATTATTTTACACTCACTAAAATACATATGGAATGGGATACCCAAACTTCATTAATTTTAATGATAAAACACTAGACTGAAAAGAAATTTCCTAGTTCTTTCTAGGGAGCCAGCTCTCCTCTCCCTGCAGGGGAACGTCTGCCAGTGCAAGAATCTAAGAATCAGTCATCTTTTTAAAAAAAGTATATGTGAAAGATTTGCTATTTATCAGTGCAAGGACATATTCCTCACATAAGATTTTGGGGAAATGAGACTGACTTCTAATTAGGATGTTTCAATTCTAAGCAAATCCTTTTGAGAACTGAATGTTCAATGCTGAATGTCTTGAATTTGAATAAATAATGTAACAATAATGCAAGAACAAATTTACTTCACAAATGTAATCACCGGACAAAATTTTGAATTGTCTAAGGAAGTACTTTACAAAAAAGTTAAACAAAAAGTTGGAAAAGACAGGGAGCCTGCTATAATCAGAGAGCCTCTGTGCTGTAGTCCTTTCATTAATCTTATTCAGAAACTGTGAATATACAGTCAATTTCAGAACAATTTTCTTATTTTACACACTGAGAGCTAAAATGATTTAATGTGGTACTTTCCATTATAATAATCCCAACCCTCAGGCATCCCTACTCAAGAAAAGACAGAGAAGGCATTCTGGGAAGGAAGGGGAGTTGAGGGTCCACGTCTGATTTTTAAAGACAGAGATCCAGATACTTACAAGGCATTACATGGTATATGCTTGGCCAGTATTGCCCACTGTCTCTCTTTAACCACACACGAACAGTCCTGCAACAAAAGAAAATATGTGCGTTAAATCACAGTGTATTTAGTCATGGGAAAATGCTGACAGCAGAAACCAAACCTCTGAATTATGTACACAGTGGACCCTTGAACAACATGGGTTTAAATAAACTACACGGGTCCACTTACATGCGTATTTTTTTCACTAATTACGTATTACGACACCACATGATCCACACGTGGTTGAACCTGCAGATGCAGAACCACAGATCCAGAGGACCGACTGTAAAGTTACATGCAGACTTCAGACCGCACGGAGGGTCAGCACCCTAACCCCTGTGTTGTTCGAGGGTCAACTGTGTGCCTGTGTGTGTGAGACACAATTATATTGCTATAATTATATAATATATATTCTATAGAAACACTTATAACATATGTTTGTGTTTATAAGTATATATATATACACACACACACCACTTATATCTCTTTAAAGATCCAATATTCCTTAAATTTAAGGCTGTATACATTTAAAATTACATGACTTTTTATAATTAAATATTTGAGGATAATTAAATTTTATCCTCATATATGTTTGCATACACACGTGTGATAGCGTTTGAAAACTATTATATGGCCGTTGCCCTGGTCTGCTGGGAGCATTCATCTCCCTGGAGGGTATTTAGGATTTACTAGTGACAAGATAAAATGAAGCAGTATGCAGCATCTGACACACACAGAAGGATTACATAGTAAATCCACTGTCTTACAAGCCAGGCTACTGACTTGAGAGAGGGTTTTCCCAAACATGGTGAAGCAGTGGTAAACTCTGAGTCTCAGACTGCTGAGCTAGAGGGCTGGCCACGGAACCCACTGCGGAACACGGTGATCCTGCAGCCAGGCTGTGGGTGAAGTTCCAGACCAGCAGGCCGGACCGAGGTGGCAGGCGCCCAGGAGAGCTCAGAGAGGAGGAGCCAAAGTGCAAGGAACCAGTTAGGGAACACTCTGAAGTTCTTAGCAGCCAGGAAGCCCCACCCCGAGTACCACCAGCTGTGACACCATAAGCACATGCTGGCAAGGCAAACTCAACTAGGAGATAATGGGGCATTGCCCCAAGGACTGGAGAAAGTAGCGGACATCCAAGCAAGGGAAACGAGCAGTTCCCCACTGCTGCTGGGAAATCACATACATCACACCCCTCACCCACCGCCCCCACACCATCCCAGGGTAAAAAGCAGACACTGAGCACTTTTATCTCAGAGAAAGCTGGACATTACCTAAAAAGACTATTTAAGTCATCACATTAGACTAAGTTTTAAATTGTACTGGATTTCTTCCCAAGTTAATCAGTGGGTCTCCCAATCAGAATAGGAGGAAAAAGACTAGACTAACCATAGATGCAGTAAAGAACCGCCACTGTATCTGCACAGCCACAAGATACAATGCAGCCACACATAGTGACACCACTCCATGTACCTGTAAAACTCCATCTTTTCGGTCAGCTATCCTAGTTTGTGAGATGGCCAGATACAGTGGAAAATAATTCTTAAGAAATAATTCAATACATACACTATACATATATCAGCCTTCATTTAAAATCTTTTCACAATATACACCAGTGAATTTTAATATAGAGAATATTATCTCAACAAGAATACAGGAGTGACATTATGGAAAATAGCAGAGTAGGAAGCTCCAAGAATCAGTCCCTGTACCAAATCAATCACTGAGCTAAGAACAATTGTCAGAATCATGACTTCAGAACTCTAACTAGTTAGACCCTCTCAGTACCTGTGGGACTGCTTGACGAAGAAGCTGGTGTACATCAGAGAATTTCACATTTTACTCCCAGCTACCATCACACGTCCCAACCTCATAGCAGGCAGCTGTGAAGACAGCAGCCTATGTTCACAGAGTGGCTTGCTGGTACCAGGGAGCGAATCCTGTCCTCCAGTATCTGGGGAATGTGTTGATTTGCCTGGCAGTTCACTAAGAGACTAGAGAAGAGATTGGCCATTGTTTCAAGCCCCTAGGTCCGTCTGAAGGGCTTCCTGGGCAAGTCTGTCAAAAGAATTTAAGGAGAAGGAAGACCTTTTACCCCTTTATTAATTACAGACATTAAAAGCAATCACTGGTTGACCTCAGAGACAGAAGAACAGAAACTTCAATGATCACATGATCACATACAACAAGAAAGACAGTCTTTGCAGAAGTAGTTTGAAAAAGCCACTAGAGAGGCAACTGCAGCATTCGACAAGTAACAACTCTAGAGAGGAATGAGGATGTGATTTTCAGTTACCACATCATAATATTTAAAATATCCAGTTTTCAACAAAAAAATTGCAAAGTATATAAAGAAACAGGAAATGGCCCATTCATAGAAAAAAAAGAGATAGTAACCACAAGGAAGAAGTCCAAACATTGACTAGCCAAGACTTTAAATTACATAAATATGCTCAAAGAGCTGAAGGGAACCACAAAGAACTAAGGAAATCAGGAGAAGGATGTATGAACAAGTAGGGAATATGAATAAAGAGACAGAAATTATATAAGGGAATCAGAAAGAAATCCTGGAGCTGAAAAGTACAATAGCTGAAATGGGACATTCACTACAAAGGGTCAATGATAGGTTGGAGAAGACAGAAGAATCGGTGACCTTCAAGATAGGACAATTGAAATTACTTAGTCTGAGGAGAAGAAAGAGAAAGAATAAAGAAAAATGAACAGAGTCAACACAAACTTTGTCTGAAGTTGAGGCCATCATCTTTGGTCATGAAACAACAAGCTTGGGGACAGAAGCTGACATGCTGAGGACAGCAGAGGTGAAGACCAGAAAGAGCATGGGCTCAGTAACACCACTGTTGACCCACCAACCCTTTAGACTAACTCTAGACTTGTTTGCGAGAGGATTCAATTTATTTGTACCCTAAGCCACTGTAAAGTACATTTTATTACCAGGATCTGAATTACATGTTAACTGATAGGCAAGATGAAGGAAAGGAATGTCTTTCCTCAGGTTTTGGGTTTGTCCAACTGCATGGATGATGCTGTCAGTCACTGAGATGAGGAACACTGGGAAAGGACCAGATGGGTCGGGAGTATCACAAGTTCACTCTTAAACTAGGAGTCTGAGGTATCTTTGAGGTAGCCCAGAATTCCTAATTAATACAAGACAGAGCCTGTTGTGCGAAGCTGCTGTGAAGATTAAATGCAAGGTTCCTGAAACGGTGCTTGGCACATGGCAAGCACTAGGTAACTGCCAACAATTATTGGTCTTATATTATCACCACCATTATTTTAAAACCTACCAATAATCATAGCTTGTGAAAGATCAAGATCCCAAATCTTTCCTGCTCTGCCAGCATATGGAACATCTTATTCCTTAATGTAAAGGATTTTACACTCAATCTACAAATGTGCCTTATAAATTTTTATCCATTCCTTTCCATTTCTTTAACAGGTACTGAACGTCTGCCATGTGCCAGGCATTGTGCAGGAGCTCCATGTGGACAGACAAGTAAACATCATTAAAACAGTGCCTGATAAGAGCTGCAAGCTGTTTTATATCTATTTAAGGCCATGTCGGAAAGGGGTCTAATCCACGTGGGAAAGGGCGCAGTTTCAGGAAGTGCTGACTCTGGAGGGAGTGGCATTATCTATTATTTCATTTGTTTCCTTCATGGCACTGGCCACAATCTGTTATTTGACCTGCCTACTTATTTTTTTTATTTTTTAAATTCTTAACTCTTTTTATTTCCCTACTCTCCACTTCTTTTTTTTTTTTAATAATATGGAGGAACTGGGGATTGAACCCAGGACCTTGTACATGCTAAGCATGCACTCTACCACTGCCTACTTCTAATGTGTCTATTATGTTGTTACCTAACCAAATCTGGGTCCGCTCGCCCATGCACAGTAAAGGCAATCCACTGATATCAGGCTGTGGTGAAGGAAAGTGCAATATTTATAGTAAGGCGCTGGGGCCAGCTAGTGCTCAAAAAGCCTGAATTCCCTGAAGGGTTTTAGGAAAGCACTTTTAAAGGCTGGGTGAGGGACAGGAGTCCCAGGGTATGCGATCAGCTCTGCACAATTCTCTGTATTGGTTGGTGGAGAGGTAGCAGGTGGTGTCACAGGGGTTAACGTGATCAGTCCTTCGGCTCCAGTAGGCCTGGAGGCTGTGGGCTCATGGTCATCAAGTAGTTAGCATCTTCCATTTGGTGGGGAGTTTTAGCATCTGTAAAACAACTCAGGAAATGTGCATCAGATACTACTATCTGGGTACTTAATAAAGGAGCTACAACAGAGGATATGAGGGAGAGGTCGGTCCCAGGAAGACCCCAGAGGCTCCTGCCCAGTTACAATTTGATTCCCCCAATTGGAAATAAGCATGAGGATAAAGAACATTCTATTCTGGCTCACTGCTGTCTACCCGGAGCCGAGGAGTACAACATGCACATGTAAATACAGTATTTGTTGGATGAATGAAAGTAGCAAGGAAGAGCTTCCTCTACCCTTCTAGGTTCTTCCGGCAGGTCTAAGGATTGACACGAGACAGATTAACAGAAGGAAACCAAACAAAAGTTCAATAACATGCATACACGGGAGAGGTCTAAGAACACTTGAGTAACTCTCCAAAAGGGCGGAAGCCCTCACCTTAAATCCCAAGTCAGCTAGGGGAGGTTACCAGGAAAAGCACAGTAAAAGGCTAGGATTGTGATGCAGATTTCAGTCACTGCCTTCTCTATAGATTTAGGGTTTCAAGAGATTTGGTCAACCTCTTCTTCCTGACACAGACGGGGTGCCACCCTTACAAGTGGAAATTTCCCTTACAAATGTTAATGTTTCTTGCAAAAAGGGAACTCCTACCTGATTTTCAGAGTCTTTCCCATGTCTGCTGTTTCTGAGAAAATAACCAGCTTAAAGTTAATACGTCAAAGAGACATATTTTGGGGTGGCAAACTCTGCCCCCCTATAAGGTGTCGGTCCAAGGTGGCAGAGCCTGCTGGTTACCTACCCCGATTCATCCTCTTCTTCTCCAGCAGCAGTTA